ATATATATATATTCTTATTATTAAAGTGACGGGGCGATTGGATATTGTTTCAACAGTAAAAAAATCAATTAAAACTCAAATTTAACTCAACTTTAACCCAACCCCACTATCTCTAATTTTATCATATAATTAAATAATACAACCAATCATTCTTACACATCACATCAACTTTAATTCACTATTCATCCACTCACATAATTTTAACTAACTATCACTTCCAATCATTTTTCTCCGACTTTACATCAAATCAACTTTAATTATTTTATTTAATTATTAATTTAATATATCCACTAACAACTAATCATATCATTTTTTTTAAAATTAACTATAGTTAAAACCAAACCAAATAAAAACTAGTTGAATTTATAAACAATCACACCCAAATGTATTGTATTGTTTTGGATTGTTCCCCTAACTTTAATAAAGAATATCCCTAAAAAGAAATAAATTAATAATTAAATAAACGAGAGGTAGAAAAGCAAATTTATGGAATATAACAAAGCCCATTTTCAACATCGGGCCCCCTTTTTAAGGAGATAAAAGGGACCTCTCACTTTCTTCTTCGCTCTCACGACTGTTGTTGAAAAAAAAGAAAAAAGAAAAAAAGCACTGTACAACCAGAAGAGCTGCCACTCTAACTCTTGCCCTATTTCTCTCTCTAAAATATATATACACACAAACGCCATAGCTGCTACCTTTGAACATATCTTAAGCGGTGAATGTAATCGTGGGTTTAAACCAATTTATTGAGTTTACTCAGCGATCCGAGTACCGGCCGAGTCACCCCACGAGTTGCACCACCATGGCGAACAATCACGGCGAGACCCCGTCCGACGATTTCCTAGAGCAGATATTAGGGTTTCCCGGCTACGTCCCCGGCACGGAGGCCGGTATGGCGGCGAGCGAGGCGGCGCAGAACGCGATGATGCTGCAGCTCGGCTCCGGCGACGGCTCGTCTCACCTCGGCGCCCTGGGCGGCGGGCTCGGAGTCGGAATCGGCGGCGGATACGGCGTTGGGGGCGGAGGTGGGGGATTCCCCCTTGGTTTGAGCTTGGAGCAAGGGAAGGCCGGCTTCGGAGATGCCTCGGGGAGCGGGAAGAGGTTCGTCCGGGACGAGCTCGTTGGTTCTCGCGCCTCGTCTTCTCTCAAATCGGTAACAATTTTGTTTATGAAATTTTTGAACTCGGTGATGTTTAATCAATTAGGGTTTTGATTTGATTATTTCCCCCCCTTTTTGGAGGTGACATTGCTGCATGGGATATATGATGTATCCTCAACATTTTATGCTGGGATTTGTTGTGTTGTGTGATGTTTGGTGGCAGTGTTTGTTTGAAATGACAGTGATAAAGAAACTCCATAAGATTAATAGGTGAAAACCAATTGTATCAATTGTCTGCAAGAATATGGGTAAAAATATGATTTAAAGGAAAGTTTCAGTTATTTCAAGCTGTATTAAAGATATGATACAACAAAATGTTATGGGGTTAGCTCGGGAAAAATTTGAGCTGTTGAATGGAAGGTTTTCTGTATTTCCATGGACCCAATGCAAATCCTCTGTTGCTTGTTATGCAGGGTTTTCATGGACAGCCAATCACAAATACAGCTCCTGCAGCGCCTCATCCACCTGCTGTCCGCCCAAGAGTACGAGCCAGGCGAGGCCAAGCGACCGATCCACACAGCATTGCTGAGAGGGTATTCATAGTTTTCTAGTAAAGGAATTTATTATTGATAGTCATATGTTTCTCTCTGTTTTTTTGTTATCCTTTCTCTTTAAATGGTGTTACAAAAGGGGCAAGTTAATATTAAGTCACAGATTAATTTGTCTGAGTGCTATCTAATAAATGTTCAAGACTGAGTCTGAAGCTTGTAGTTGAATTTGTCTCTTTTATTACAGTTGAGGCGAGAAAGGATAGCCGAAAGGATAAGAGCATTGCAAGAGTTAGTTCCTAGTGTCAACAAGGTTAGACTTCTCTATTATTTCCACTATATTGTATGGTGTTTGGTAGTTTGAAACTTCTGTTTGGGGGTGATGGCAAAGACAAGGTGAACTTTCTCAATAGCTTTCTTATCATGCCTTGCTCTTTTGATATTTACAGTATCTAGTTTTTTATTTTTTATTTTTTGTATGAAGTTGTATGATTCTGCCCATATTCTGACTATGAT